CAGGCTCCCTGGAGGAGGAGGATCTGAGATGGACTCAGGCTGCATGGCTCCCCTGGGTGTGCTCCCCCTGGTGGTGGGCCATGCGAGGAGAAATGTGGGAGGAGAAGCACAGGTCTGCCCAGGACAGGAAGTCAGCTGTTTCCTGGAGCCCAAGCCCAGAGTGGAGGGGTCGGCAGGAGGGCTGAGCTTGTACCTGAGAGAGAGGGAGAAGCAGGGGGCACCAGACAGACAGAAAGATATTGGAGAGAATCAGCCACATCACATGGAGCCATTGAGAGCTGTGTCCCAGTGTCCCGGCAATGAAGCCACGCCGAGGTGTGCCCTTCCTCAGCCCACGGAGGCGGGCGGCTGGCGGGCCCTGGCGGACCCTCTGGAGCACACGGGATCCCGGCAGCTGAGTCTGTTGGGAGATGCGTGGCCCCTGCCCCCTTCGGAGACGAGACGCCCTTTCGCTGTGGGAGTGTTGGAGTGAAGGGAGCGCCTGTTTGCTGTTGGTTTCCCCTGTAATTCTCTTTTCCTTTTTATTTAAGAAGAGAAAAACGCCCCATAGTGTCATAAAAGCAATTGTGAGTATTTAAGAAGAACTACAATCCTTCCTCGCTCAACTGCCATGTGAGAGGGAAGCCGTCAGGCCTCACTTCCCCAGCCGAGCGAAGCTGGCACTGCCTCCTCCTGCAGGCGCAGGCGCAGGCCCCCTGGGCTTCCTATAAATAGCCAGCTGCGTTCTCGGGTTCTGTACACACACACACACACACACACACACACACACGCACACATACAAACACGGGACGCACGGCAGGCTTCTGCGTACACCCCACCACACGAGTGCAAACACACACACACACACACACACACACACACACACAGCTGTATCCCGCAGCCCCAGGCTGTGACTCCCCCTCCAACCACAGCCTGGCCCCCCAATGGAAAGCTCAGCCCAGGGAGCCCCCAGGGGACCCCGGAGCGTGATCAGAAAGCCCGGGGAGTTTGTACAACACAGATTGCTACAGACAAACTTGATTGCTTTTTTGATTAGTGGGTAAAGGGAATGGATTTGATACGCTGCCGCGAGAAATAGTGCGCAATTAATCCCCGGTTGGCGCGGCGATGACATTGTCATACGGGCTGGGAACGGCCGAAAGGCAGCCAAGTGAGGACGATGCTGACAAAGGGCGCCTGGGATCAGGGCAGGTCCTGGCCGTGGCTGGGGGTGGCGTGGTGAACGAGGCGGGAGAGGGCCAGGGGTGGGGGCACCCAGCAAGGCCGTGCCCTCCAAGCATTGCCAAGTCCATGCCCCCTGCTCTGTCCACCAGAAAGGCTGGGCTCGGCATTGCCTGGGTGGACGCCCACTGCCCACGATGCCCAGATGGTTCCAGCCCAGACCGAGCCCAGGTCTCTGCCGCTTCCTGCAT